ATATTACATTAAGCTACTTTGGTATTGCTTCTGAACAAGAGACGATCTTCGAAAAAAAGCGTGTGTTCAGAAGAACATCGCTTGGTTATGAAAAAAGACAGCCAATGGGACACGAAGAGAAATACTGTCAAATTTGGTTGTATGAGGCAGTAATGCAGTTGAGATTGGCAACTTACCAACGTGTCGAACGTGCTGGACGACGTCGCGTTTGACATCGGAGACGTCGAGCATCGACCACCACGAGTAGCAGCATGGCGTGCGAGGTGCGCTGGCGTCCTGATAGGGTGCCGCAGTAAAGGCGAAATGATGCCCCACTGCTGCGATGAACATCTCAATACATACCGCAAAGTTCTACAACATAACAGAGACTCAAAGCTGTCCCATTGAACCTATCCATCTTGACTTTCTTCAAGCACTTTCCAGGCTATATCCCTACTAACTTTTTTTCTTAGGTTCAAACATCATCTAAAACCCCAAGGAGGATCCAATTTCTCCAAAATCTTTCGTGGTAGTTCTAATAAAACCTTTTTAACTTTTCACCGCAGCTCGCCATTTGTGACCATCGATATGGATCCAGTTCGTCTTCCAAGAAGAGTCGTATCAATCACAATCAAAACCAAACCAAGCGTTTCCAAAACCAATGAAAACAGTTTCAGAGTCAAATCCAGCCAAATTTGTCACAATTTACTTTATTCATCATCTAGTAACTTAAGCAGAAAAAGTCTCAGGAGTAGAAAGATTTCATTACCCGAGATTTAAAAAACAATCTAGAATCAAAACCATTCTAGATTTGACGGTTAGCAATCGGTTCATAGAGGCATCAGAAGTGAGTTTTTTTTCAACCCCAAAATGATTCCGAAGTAGGCTTTGCCCTAACTGTATCGACCTATCAGTTGCGTAGGCTGAAGATTTGTTTCGCCTTGCATCTTCAGTCAGCGGTGGTTCTACACACGAGCATTGCCTTTCTTAACTGCGTATGTGTCGTTGAGTGGAATAATACAAAGCCAGAGAATGTAAAATCAGATAAAAAGGAATTAGCTTCTATTCTCAGGTTAAAGAAGTGAGCCAAGAACGGCCCCATAATTAGCCACAACATTGAATTCCTATTGGCACCAATATCCATCAGCACTTAGCGAAGGGAAAAATTAGACTGAACAAACTGATTCCATGAACATACTAATGGAAAAGATACACCTCAAAATCCCCACGAATTATGTTCACCATGCCATTACAAATAGGGACAACGCTTCCTCTCTCATGCAAGCTATTGTGAAAGCACTTTAATCTATGTTTAAATATGTCGAGAAAAAAATGTAGTGACATCAAATTGTTTCCTTCATGAACTCTCCAATCAATCTACACAGATCACAACGAAGTACTCAATTCTCTAGGATTACCACTAAAAAGCCAAGGTTTTCAGCTACCCAGAGGCACTTTTAAGTTGAAAAATCCAATACCAAATTGAGGATAGATGTCACGCAAAAGAATGAACAGTTTAGATCAACTCAATCACCGCCTCAAAGTATGTCATCGATGGAAGAAAAATACACAAACTTTGGATGGTCCACACAAGAAACATTCTGCCTCATTGTCAATGGTAGTATTATACCGCACAAGGAATAGAAGAGGAATACGTTTCGACAAAACTCTAATCATGAGCCTATGAAAGGAGAACTGCAAAAGTCGCCATATCGACAAGTGAGCAAGAATACCTGAAATGCAATGCAAATAGATCGTTCATCTTCCAGTTTCCATGCCTCCACACGACGTATCACTCCAGAGGCAGCGAGAATTGAAATCAAGACGGATTGCCTAGGATAGAATAAGTGAAAGAGCCAACACCATCGGCATTGCTACAACTTAACTTAAGCGAACGAGAGGTTGCAGTACAAAGTACTTACCAAAATGACATGAAAACAACAAACTTGACACAAATGAATTTTGAAATCGGCTTCATCTCCTTCAACTCGGCTCGTGTACATTGATAGAAGAGCACTAAACAGTAGAGTGCCCACTAAAATAGCAATATGGAAGGGAGCAGTAAATAAATAAGCCTAAGATTTAGGCAAGGAAATACGTACGATTTGAGAGATGTTATTAATTACGGTGAGGTAGAGGTAAGCGTATCTTGGACTGAAGTTTGTCTCTTCGTAAACCTTACAGACTTCACATATCCTGTTAAGGTAAAACAACAGTAACTACATTTTAATCAACCGAAAAAGCAATGTCATTCAAAACTTACAGGGCTATAATTGTGGTAATGGGACGAATGACCGTATACTGTAAAACTCCATGTCGACAGTGTTCGATAAAAGGCCTACAAATAATAAT